AACTTTAGGATTTTTGCTTTGAAATTCTGTGCTCAGTCACCAATTGGAGCCTTGAGCGGAAAATACAGGACCTCTGTGTCTGAACTCCGGGTGCTGGAGGGCCCATGTTATATCAGGGGTCAGTCAGTGGCTGGCAAGGGGCCCCTCCAAATGGGCTCAGTGCCCAAACAAAATGCTGGGGCGGGCTTTGCATCACCCATGTGCCGCTGCTGGCTGCTGGACCATCTGAGAGAGCTCTCAGGCACCTAACTCCTATCACCAGGCTTTTAATCCTATCCTATCATCAGGCTGTTAATAAAACTACTGAATTACTGGAGTTCCTGAGTCATCTCCCTCAGCTTCAACACTACTTTTCATGTGGCCATTTGTTCTCCCTCCAACCTTAAAATGCTTTTTATAACCACCTTCCTTATTTCCCTTCTATTATTCTGACCAACCTTTACACTGTAATCATATTTATAAAGGGTAAGTTTTTAGATATTTTTATTAATGTTCAATTAGCCGGTTAGACTCGCCTTAAAAACGGAATCTGCCAGTAGGCAGTCTGCATTTGAGAATTATGACCAACCAACATGCACATTTCCATCTACATCATACTGCTGATGTCATAAAATGCAACTTATGACTTCCATTAAAACGTTTAAAGACCATTTCCAAATCAAATCCCAGGAGAAATCATGACTTTCCTCTTTTGGCCAACCTTTAAACTTTCTGTGCATCAGGTAGATGAAGCTACCCAGCCCAGTACTAGTCCTACAATCAAGCTCCATTCACTCCTCAGACTCTTATTCCTATCAAGTCCCGTCTAGATGATAAACTGTAACTATATTGGGAAAACCCATTTACAGTAGTATCTCTCTTGAATGTGAAAACCAGCAAGAGATTGTTCTGCAGGGCAGCTGGGAATCTAAGTCTGAATTAACAATTGTGCTAAAACCTTGGTGAGTCCAGGGAGGCCTGGACTGAATGTGTGCATGTACATGAGAGGGAGACAGACTAGGGACAACTGAGAAGGATGGATCCTCTACTTTTATGCTTAGGATTCTATTAGTAGAAAATGCGTAAGACACATTACTGATATAAAAATAACAATAGTATTACTCTGATGGGCCCTGATCCTGTTCTAGCCAAGTCAAGGCAAAACTTCCCATAACTTCAGGGTTGCTAGGTCAGGCCTATAGTGATTCACATTTTCATTGCACTGTATAGACATAAATTACTAAAATAAAAAAATGTGCATCTATCATCTGAAAAACAGGAGTTTCCCTGATTTCAGAGGATCACTCTGCTTTCCCAAGGAATGGGAACCAAGGAGAAAGGAAGAGTGTGCTACAGGAAAAATAGAGGGATGTTTGGATTGAAGGCAGTGTGTGTTTATGTGTATGTGTGTGTGTGGCATGTAAGAGCCTCAGTTGGGTAAGAACAAGGTTCTCATCATTACTCCAGGAATGGCAGATTGATCCTAGGGTTAAAGTTTTGCACTTGTGAATTAATTATTTTCATGGCTTTTATAAACACTATAAGGGAGATTATCAATCATCAGCAATTGCCAAAGTGGCCAGTAATTCAGTGATTTCCTGAAGGTCTCTGGCTCCTTTGGAAAATGTTGACCTTGCAGCCCAAGGCCAAGTTACCCTTTTGTACCCTTTATAACAAGTGCCTGTGACTGGAAGCTGCTATAAACTTAGCGGCTTCCGCAAGCACCAACAAGCTCAGCGCTTTCATTGCAATCTTCACCCTGCCCAGTCTTTGAGGACCATCATTTTCCAGGGGGATGATGCTCCAGGGAGCTCTACTGCACCCTTAGTTGTGTTTTCAGCAAGAAGGGGCACAGTGTGCTCTTCTCTACACTCTACCCATATTAATGGATATACAACAAGGTCCGATAGAAGCAGTCTGCATCAGAGGGTGCCAGCCCACCGCTTGCTTCTGAAGTTCTTAGGAAGGGGAAATAGTTATTATTTCTAGGTTTTTTTTTTTTTCATCCTGAAGCAAAACAAATCTAAAAGACTTTCGTCCTTCCCTGGGCCTTGCAGTTGGCTATGGTCATTCAGTGGGCTGGAGTGTGAAGTCCCTTGTCTGGCTATGTGCACAAAGAGCAAGTAGAGAGGGAAAGGGTTGCATTTTCAGAGTCCTATATCTGCTTTTCTCCCCAAACTCAGCGAATAAATGCAGGGTGGGAAAGATTAGGAATAATCCCTCCTTTCAGGTAGGGATCACCGTAGTCTACCTGGGATGGCATGCCAACTGGGGACACTGACGTTGTCCCATGGCTGATACCCAAACCTCTCCCTCTCCTCAGCAATTATATGCCTGCATGATCTACAGCCCCCAGTTCTGTGACTCTGATACAGGCTGGGACTCAACCTCCAAGACTCAAAAGTTGCAATGAGCAAGCAAAACCCTGCTATTCCCCCCAAAACACTGCCGGTTAAATGTCATCTGTGTTCTCTTTCTACAAAAGACATTACAAAACCCCCCTCCCCTGCTCCCCATCCCAGAAAACATGCTTGCACACACACACACACCCCCCTATCCGCACACACACACACAGATGCGCCGCATACACACACACATTCACACAGGAAAAACGTCTTGCAAACTCCTGAAGGTGGAAAAAGGCAACTTGCAAATGTGCCTTTGTTTCTGATAAGCTCCCTCCTCCCCCCCCCCCCCCCTATATGCCCACATTGCCCCTTCCCTCCCCTGTAATTGCCCTGTCCTCCCCGCTTCCCAAATCTTCCAAAATAAATATTCTTTCTATTTGTTGGTTTAAAAGATTCTTTTAGGCTTGTAAGCAAGAGAGAGGGAGAGAGAAAAAGAAAAGAGAAATCTTTTAGCGTGAGAATGAAACCCCACCAACTCATGAATCCATAAAGGAATAAATATGAAGGGGTTACGAGCAGAGACAGAAGAAAGATTAAAAAATATAATAATACTGGGAAGAGAAAGATGAAATTTGGTAGTGAAATGGATGTGAGGATAGCGCATTAGTGAGCACAGTCAAAGATAACCTATCCCACCCACCAGTTTTTGATTCAATTTCTTTAAATCTCCCCCCTTTTTTTTAAACTTTTCTTTTTTGTTGTTTTTTTTGTTTGTTTGTTTTTCCTGTCTTTTTTTCTCTTTTTTTTCTTTCTTTTTTGGTTTTTCTTTTTTTGTTTTTGTTTTTGTTTTTACAATGGTTTAAGTCCATTGGCAGGAAACCAAAATTGAGACAAACACATCCCTCCCTGAAACCAAAAGCCCTCCCTTACACCCTTCTCTCCCTCATCCCCCCCACACTCAGTGGTTCTACATGTGCTGAAAAGAGAAGAGTAAGCTTAGAATAAATCTAATGAATCAAAGGAATAAATGATAATGATAGTAAAGAGTAAAACCCAAACCCAAAAGACCACAACACTCCCGTGTTGTCATTGTCTGAGTGTCTGTCCCTATCTCTTTTGGAGGCTGCAGGCATCAATTTACATAGTACAACCAGTAAACAAGGTTGAAGAATCCAAAGGTGATTGGAAAAATGATTCGTGACCACTTGTCAATGGTGCTGACGTCTGTCAGGTCTGGGATTTTGAGCTTCAGCTTAGATGACCGTCGGCGGAGACGGCAATTGGCACGGTTGCGGGCTGCAGTGTGATGGGTCAGTGGGACGTGGCGGTCTAGGGTTGCGTGGTGACCAAATCCATCCCGAGAGGCCAGCTGCTTGCGGAACTGGATTCCTGAGCCTTCGAAGGACATGACAGAGTTTCGAGAGTCGCCAACACTGCTCATCATGTCCGTGGCCAGCAGCTCGTTGTTCATCTCCAGAGTGCTGAGGAGGATATTACCGTAAGGGTCAACCTAGAACAGGGGGGAGAGAGAGAGAGAGAGAGGTAGCAAGGAAGTCCTGTACATGGTGCACACATGGCCATACCGTCAGACTAAACGGGATGATTTTGAACTCTTTTTGGTGCAGTGGTGCCACTGGTTAGGTTGTCTGTGGGCACTGCACCTGCCCTTTCAAATCTGAAAAGATTGTCCACTAATGCTGGACCTGAAGGATCAGTTACTGGCACTTGCAGCTTGTGAATTGGATAATGTGATTTGGCCAACAGAATAGGACCAAAAGCACAGGGGTACTTTTGGGTACACCTTCCTTTTGCAAAAGGATGGTCTTGTTGAGACTTGGTTCAGGATGATGACTAAATGATCAAGGATGAAAAGAATCCTGATAATCACTGGGAAGGGGGTCTTCCTAGGCATCTGCCTGCAAAGTTTGGAAGACCTATGCATGGCAGACAAGGCAGCTGGAGTTCATCTCTACTGATGAGAAGAAAGGCTACTCCACAGGTTACCGAGGGTTGAATGAACCGTGGAGAGTCTGAATTCTCCTGCCACAATGAAAGAAGGGGACAAACCTGCTCTCTCACCCTCTTCTCCTCATAACGGTGGCGCTCATTGTTGGCCTTGCTGATCCGTTCACTCTGTTTCTTCTGCTGCCGGGGGCCTCGCCCGAAGAATATGTAGTTGACAAAAGCATATTCCAAGAGTGCCAGGAACACGAAGACAAAACAACCCATGAGATAAACATCAATAGCCTTGACGTAAGGGATCTTAGGGAGGGTCTCCCGTAGATGGGTGTTGATGGTGGTCATAGTAAGCACCGTGGTGACCCCTGCAAGGAGAGGGCATGCACTCTGTTATCAAGGAATTGGGGGTTTCCTGTAATGGTACTCTCAGCTTTCTGTCCCTCCTCCCAGGCAGGCTGGACAGCAGGAGTGATGGGAACAGCACAATTGGGAAGGAAACTGTAGTTACTCTGAGACCAGATGTCCGCTATAAATCACTACAGAAAATAAACCAGCATTCAACAGTGGGAGAAAATGTCCAAGCCGAATATCATCAGCATGATAAGGATCAACCACACACTGTTCTCTAAGTCCTTCCTGATCCTTCTTCTTTCCCTCAGAGAGGCAGGAAGAATTCAATTTTGCTCTCAGACTTTCAACCTCTTCTCCTCCTTTTCTTCTACTTTATGAATTCCTCAGGCTTCCCTAGGCACTAGTGAAAGGCTCAGTACTCTTGACATGAATTTATAATCTGCTTTTGTCTTTCCAGTGCCATGAACAGGAGAAAGACAGAAAGGCTTCCCTCTTTGTGGCTTTCTCCTCTATGGTCTGCCTCATAGCCTTCCATCTATATTCTTGACCACATCAATTCCCACCTTCCTTTCATTAGCTTTGTCATGCACTGCTTCAACTATCTTTACATCCACCTCACAGGGCTCTCTGTCTCTATTTTTCAGGTCTGTATGCTGAAGCAAACATCTCTTGATCTCATTGACCACCTTATCTTTTTTCACCCCCTTGGTCTCTGAGAGCATGATGTACCTGCAGTTATTCTCATGGCCTTCTTTCCTTTTCTTAGGCTTTTTCTCAACCTTTCCCTTTCAACCTGTCTCTTCTGCAACCTTTTGCAAGCTCTGAAAAGATGGCACTGAGTTTTCATGTTCCTTTGGGGGCAGTTGCTGTGCCTCTTTAACCTAATCTTATTTTCTCTCTTTTCAACCTCAGCTGTCTTACTCTTCTTACTACCTCAATGATCCCCTTTTCTTCTAGTGTCTCTTCTCCCCATATCCCTGTTGGCAGTTCTCCAGATCATATCCTTTGCCTCCAGCTCTCGCAATCTCCATGACTTCATTTGTTCTCCTGGTTTCAGCTCCCATCTCTACATTGATAGCTTCCATATATCTCTCTGTAAATGCTGGACCTCTCATCACTACCATGTATTTACTGTCATTTCTATAAAGAGTGAAAGAACTGAGAGTTTTTGGTTCAAATAAGAGTAGACAGAAGGGAGTAATGGCAACCCTTTAAAAATATCCAGAAATTAAGTGCAAAGAAAGGGGGAATAACTAATTCTCCATGTCAATTAATAACAGGACAAAAAGCTGAATGGTTTAAACTGTAAGGGAGACTTAGAACAGAAACAAATATGAGGTTCAGTACAAAGAAGTCAAAATACCCAGAGGAGGCTGTTGAGCCTCCTTTCTGGCAGTTTTTTAAGGACAAGTTAGAGAGGGAGCCATCAGGAATGGCTCAGGGAGAGCTGTTCTAGTCCTGATCATCTACAGGGTTTTTTTTCTGTCTTCTCCTGTGAATCCAGATGTCGGCAGGAATCCAACAGCCATGCATCTCATCTCCACCCTTCTGTCTGTACCATCACTCTGCCAGCAATGTCCTGTCTTTCTCTCCTCACTGGTAATATTAACGCAAGTGCAACTTACCTTTATAATTTGCAATGTTCTTGTTTCCTCCCTGTTTCTCTGCTTCAGCATCTCCAAATGACCACATTCAAATCCTTTCCCTTTGTACAAATCACCCTTCCTCTGACTCTACCCAAAACTCTGCCTTCTCCTAGAGCTAACTGAAGTCCCCAGACCTTCTCTGTAAGACCCAGCCTCCACCTTTGCTCCACTGCCTTTCTGAGCCTTTTCTCACTGACAGCTGAAATCTTTCTCCCTCTGCCTTTGCCTCTTCTATTTCCTCTGAACTTTCTATAAAGTTGCACAGCCCCATTCTCATATGCCAGTCATCCACCCTTTCTCTTGTTCCTTCTTCAAAATTCTCATCTGCAATCCACCCCCACTTTCCTTCTGTTGCTTAAAAGACCTCATTTTTTTTTCTCCATATAGGAAAACATCCCAGTTTAGGGAAGCATGTGTTTAAGAAGAAACTTAAAGAAGAAACTCAAGGAGAAACACGGACTTTAACTACTGTCCCACATTTCTCTTGCTAATGAAGGTCTTCAGGTATATAATGTGTTCAGTATCGGGCATGAAATATGATGGGAATGTATAATGTTATTTCAATTATTTTTGTCATCTTTCACCATTCATTCACCACCCTTACTGCTCTTCGTTCACCCATTATTTGAATTTATCATCCAACTAACATACTATCAGAATATGTGTTGATTAAGAGGTGCCCAGACTATTTTTTTCTTAAGAAAATGGGTACAAATCAGAGTGAGAAAGCTGCCGTGCTCCTGGCATGTCACAGTATCATATGTCTGAGATGTGACCATTTATGTCTTTGTTAGAGAGTCTTAACTTGCACTCACATAAATTTACAGTGCAGTTTTTACTGATTCCAGTAATATGGGCTAAAGCTTTGGAGGTACTGACTTTTCTAACAAAAAAGTGTCTTTGCAGGCAACATATTCCCAGGTTTGTTCTAAGAAGAAAAGTTTGTCCTTTTGGAGGAAATGACTGACAGATCTGATTTGCTTTCATTGCTGCCTTATCAAAAAAAAAATAAATATATTTTATTTCCCAGAGCTGTTCTAGTTGACTTCTCTCAGAAAACACCTTCTTTAATATATAATGAAGAGGTGCTTACCCAGTGCCACTCGTGCAGCAGAAGCATCATAATTGATCCAGAAGGAAACCCAGGACAGAATGGTGATGAGGATGGATGGCATATAAGTCTGGAGGATGAAGTAACCAATGTTCCTCTTAATCCGGAAACTCAAGGATAAGCGGAGATATGAACCTGTCAATGAGATATTAAAGGGAGATGAGAGGAAAGCAGGACTGTATTTAAGGTAAGAATCCAGGTTAGAAATCACAATTTCATTTGGAAAATG